CCTGGGACAGGCCTGAGTGGGGACCAAGAGCAGCACCCTGGAGGTTCTCCCACGTGGGAACATGCCCTGGTGGTCGAGATGAATGAATGTGGGGTGGAATGAGCCCTGAAAGATGCTCCGAAAGATGCTCCTTCCTGTGAAATCACAGTCACTGAGTTCTCTGGCTTGGTGCCTCGGCCATCTCAGCTAGAGGGAGCGGCCGGACAGACACTACGTCCATAGTCAACTAGGGTGGCTATACCATTTGCTCAGCGCCTTGCCTTCTATGTATTAGAACATCTCAGTTCTTGTCAGTAGCAATTCGCTGCCCTGGCTCAGGTGAGGTGTGAGCCAGGAGGTGAGATTCGTTGCTGTGACACAGAGGTGGGGAGGATCCCGTGGGCAGAGGCAGCGAGGTTGGGGGGCACAGGTCCCCTCTTTCAGGGTTCCAGGCCCAAGCACACAGCTCCAAGGCCCCTTGACCTCTAGAGGGGTCTGTGGGACTGTTTTAGGCCTCCGAGGTGAGGTGGTGGAGACCCTCAGTGGTCACAGTGCTTATTTTTAAGTCACATGCACTTATTCTTAGTTAAATAAAATGCAAGTTTATTGGTGTTGGGGTGGTCTGAGCTGATGTTCCTGGGGGACTGGCACGGGTCCTGGCACGCCCACTGCAACTAGCTGGTGTCATGTCTGTGGGGCCCTAGAGGGTGTCGAGGACAAACCACCCCTTGGTGGGATCTTAAGGGTGGGGCGCTGGCTCCTCTTGACAAACTTGATTTTTTTTTTCTGTTTTGTTGGGAGCGGGCAGCTCTGGGAAGGGCTTGTTTCCTTGTGGGAGGGAGAAGCTCCCAGGAGAGCCAGGCTCTGAAGGCCTCTTTCCTCTCTGTCCCCACAGGGACCGCCTGGCAAGCCTGGGGCCAAGGTAAGCACGAGATTAGTGAGTGATGCTCCCCCTGCACTCCGCCCAGCCAGGAGTTACTTACTACTTCTCACCCATCCAGCCGTCCCTGCCCCCAGCCAGACCCTTCTTACTCGAGGACGAGGATGGCTGCTGCTAGGCGACTGGGCCCTTGGTGTCCGCCCGCTCAGCCATGGCCGATCTCCGCCTCGGGCCAGTGGCCTGTGGGAGGGAGAAGCTCCCAGGAGAGCCAGGCTCTGAGGGCCTCTTCTCTCTCTGTCCCCACAGGGACCGCCCGGCAAGCCTGGGGCCAAGGTAAGCATGAGATTAGCGAGCGATGCTCCTGCCGCACTCCGCCCAGCCAGGAGTTACTTACTACTCGCCCCAGGTCATCGTGGGAAATGTGGGGACAATAGTCACTCACTCCAACCCAGAGCCTGCATGTTGGGGTGTGGTGGGGGGTCTGGTCCATCTTTCTAAAGCCGTATGACCTGAGATCTCTGGCCTCACACATCTGAAGTGTGTGCTGACTTGGGGAGGAAAGGGGGCTTTGTAGGGACCCCCTACAGCCTCCAGGACAACAGATGGTGCCCAGAGACCCTGGGGGCTTCTCTTGGCCTTCCCCCCACCTCGTCTTGTCTCCTCCTGCTTTCTCTCTGCTCTCCAACCTATCCCTGAAGGACAGCTGCCCCTCTGAGGCGGTTGCCCCCCTCCCCATGGGTGATGAGGACTAGAGGAGCCCCAGGAGGGGTTGCCCCTTGGGGTGCTCTATGCTCCTACTCACTCCCCGAAGGCCTCTAAGGTGTGCGGGGCCCACTGTGGGATCAGCCCCTGCTATTCCACCTCTTACTTCCAGAATGTTTTGCTCTGATTTGCAAAACTTTGGGACATTTCAAAAATTGAGTTTTTAGAAGTATGTACCTATTAGATTAAGTTGTAAAAAATGAAGCCATCTCATAGAACGACATGATGGCCTGGCCTCCAGAACAGCTTTTAGCATGTGGCCAGCCCTCAGCCATGCCGGCCGCAAAGTCCCCCATCCAGCCGTCCCTGCCCCCAGCCAGACCCTTCTTATTCGAGGACGAGGATGGCTGCTGCCAGGAGACCGGACCCTTGGTGTCCGCCCGCTCAGCCATGGCCGGATCTCTGCCTCGGGCCAGTGGCTGGCCTCAGAGAGGGTCTCTTTCTTTAAGAAGAGACACAGACCCGAGTCACTGTGTTTTCCAGGATGACATGGAAGGCTCCGGGGGACCCTTCTGGTTGACAGCCCGAGGCGCTGATGAGCTGCAGGTACTGCCTGTGAACAGGTTTGGTCGGCTCTGGGGTGTAGGGGCACCTGGGGCAGGGGCGTCCCTGGGACAGGCCTGAGTGGGGACCAAGAGCAGCACTAGAGAGCCAGTGAGACCAACTGAGTCTGGGGCACCGTCCACCCTGGAGGTTCGTCCACCGTGGAGGTTCTCCCACGTGGGAACATGCCCTGGTGGTCGAGATGAATGAATGTGGGGTGGAATGAGCCCTGAAAGATGCTCCGAAAGATGCTCCTTCCTGTGAAATCACAGTCACTGAGTTCTCTGGCTTGGTGCCTCGGCCATCTCAGCTAGAGGGAGCGGCCGGACAGACACTACGTCCATAGTCAACTAGGGTGGCTATACCATTTGCTCAGCGCCTTGCCTTCTATGTATTAGAACATCTCAGTTCTTGTCAGTAGCAATTCGCTGCCCTGGCTCAGGTGAGGTGTGAGCCAGGAGGTGAGATTCGTTGCTGTGACACAGAGGTGGGGAGGATCCCGTGGGCAGAGGCAGCGAGGTTGGGGGGCACAGGTCCCCTCTTTCAGGGTTCCAGGCCCAAGCACACAGCTCCAAGGCCCCTTGACCTCTAGAGGGGTCTGTGGGACTGTTTTAGGCCTCCGAGGTGAGGTGGTGGAGACCCTCAGTGGTCACAGTGCTTATTTTTAAGTCACATGCACTTATTCTTAGTTAAATAAAATGCAAGTTTATTGGTGTTGGGGTGGTCTGAGCTGATGTTCCTGGGGGACTGGCACGGGTCCTGGCACGCCCACTGCAACTAGCTGGTGTCATGTCTGTGGGGCCCTAGAGGGTGTCGAGGACAAACCACCCCTTGGTGGGATTTTAAGGGTAGGGCGCTGGCTCCTCTTGACAAACTTGATTTTTTTTTTCTGTTTTGTTGGTATTGGGCAGCTCTGGGAAGGGCGTGTTTCCTTGTGGGAGGGAGAAGCTCCCAGGAGAGCCAGGCTCTGAGGGCCTCTTCTCTCTCTGTCCCCACAGGGACCGCCCGGCAAGCCTGGGGCCAAGGTAAGCATGAGATTAGCGAGCGATGCTCCTGCCGCACTCCGCCCAGCCAGGAGTTACTTACTACTCGCCCCAGGTCATCGTGGGAAATGTGGGGACAATAGTCACTCACTCCAACCCAGAGCCTGCATGTTGGGGTGTGGTGGGGGGTCTGGTCCATCTTTCTAAAGCCGTGTGACCTGAGATCTCTGGCCTCACACATCTGAAGTGTGTGCTGACTGGGGAGAAAAAGGGCCTTCGGGGGGAACTCCTACAGCCTCCAGGACAACAGATGGTGCCCGGAGACCCTGGGGGCTTCTCTTGGCCTTCCCCCCACCTCGTCTTGTCTCCTCCTACTTTCTCTCTGCTCTCTAACCTATCCCTGAAGGACAGCAGCCCTTCTGAGGCGGTTGCCCCCCTCCCCATGGGTGATGAGGACTAGAGGAGCCCCAGGAGGGGTTGCCCCTTGGGGTGCTCTATGCTCCTACTCACTCCCCGAAGGCCTCTAAGGTGTGCGGGGCCCACTGTGGGATCAGCCCCTGCTATTCCACCTCTTACTTCCAGAATGTTTTGCTTTGATTTGCAAAACTTTGGGACATTTCAAAAGTTGAGTTTTTAGAAGTATGTACCCATTAGATTAAGTTGTAAAAAATGAAGCCATCTCATAGAACGACATGATGGCCTGGCCTCCAGAACAGCCTCCAGCCGGTGCCTTTAGCATGTGGCCAGCCCTCAGCCGTGCCGGCCGCAAAGTCCTTGCACACGGTGCTCAGTGTCCCCTGGACACTCAGCTCTGAGCTGGGCGAGGGGACAGTGTAAGAAGCTACCTGAATAACTAACCCTTTCTTACCTTTCTCTGGGGGCGGGTGGATGTCACCATGGGGTTGGGCCTGCCCAACACTGCACTCACAGACCCCTTCATCCACTTCAGGGGGATCCTGGAATAGCTGGCCCACCAGGGACCAAGGTAAGAACCTTTCCTCGGGTCCTGGAAATCAGCAATTTATCAGCCCCTGCTATTCCACCTCTTACTTCCAGAATGTTTTGCTTTGATTTGCAAAACTTTGGGACATTTCAAAAGTTGAGTTTTTAGAAGTATGTACCCATTAGATTAAGTTGTAAAAAATGAAGCCATCTCATAGAACGACATGATGGCCTGGCCTCCAGAACAGCTTTTAGCATGTGGCCAGCCCTCAGCCATGCCGGCCGCAAAGTCCCTGCACACGGTGCTCAGTGTCCCCTGGACACTCAGCTCTGAGCTGGGCGAGGGGACAGTGTAAGAAGCTACCTGAATAACTAACCCTTTCTTACCTTTCTCTGGGGGCGGGTGGATGTCACCATGGGGTTGGGCCTGCCCAACACTGCACTCACAGACCCCTTCATCCACTTCAGGGGGATCCTGGAATAGCTGGCCCACCAGGGAACAAGGTAAGAACCTTCCCTCGGGTCCTGGAAATCAGCAATCTTCATTAGCCCTGGTCTCGGGGCAGGAAGGGGTCCTTGACCTGCGCCCATTGTCTCCTTTGGCCTCATCAGCCCAGTCCCCTTGCAGCCTCAGTAAGAGGCTCCCCTCCAGGCCCGGCCCAGCATCATATCATTCTCCCACTCTCCCCTGGTTCAGCCCGTGCCGTCTCGGCCCTGACTTCATTCCTCAGAATTTAAGAACTACTTGTCTTAAAGGCACTCACCTCCACCTCACCCAATCTCCCCTAGACTTTCCTGTTGCTTACTGGCTCTGACGCAGAAATCAAAATGAATGTGGGGTGGAATGAGCCCTGAAAGATGCTCCGAAAGATGCTCCTTCCTGTGAAATCACAGTCACTGAGTTCTCTGGCTTGGTGCCTCGGCCATCTCAGCTAGAGGGAGCGGCCGGACAGACACTACGTCCATAGTCAACTAGGGTGGCTACTCCAACCCCTGGCCCCCAGCCCCCTCCTGCCCTCCTCAACCCCTAAGTGTTTCTAGGAGGCTGAGCCCCGGCCTGTCACCTCCCCCGCACCAGCTCAGTGGGCCATGTCTGACGCATGGTCCGCTCCTCGTGTCCTTTGCAGGGAGAAGTCGGTGCAGACGGACCCCCCGGGTTTCCTGGCCTTCCCGGCAAAGAGGGCGTAGCTGGAGCCCAGGTAGGTGACCACCCAGGGCTGCCAGGGGGGTGATACCCCGAAAGTGAGAGCTGGCACTCAGTGTGTCTCTCAGGCCGTCCCCCACCTTAGTTCTCTGTATGCCAAGGGGCCTGGAGACTCCACTCCCTGGGATGAGTCGGGAGTCCAGGCTGCCTGAGGGAGCTTCCTGTGATTGCCTGGCTCATCTACCACCCTGCTCCCACGCCCCCCCCGCCCCTCCCCCCCCAGC